CTCCAACTGTTTAAACTGCTTCAAAGCGACAGAGCCCGAACGACCTTCAGCAAACAGCTGCTAATCTCTAGCAAAGGAGAGCTGTCCTAGGGAGGACACCGGGAGCCGCGGGCCTCTCGCCCTCACCCCGCCCCCGGACGACCTCAGCCCACCAGACCTCACCACGCCCAGACCGCTAGAGGACGGTCAGCCGCGGAGGCCGAGGGGAACGCGGGAACTCTGGCCGGAAGCCCTCGGGTCCTTGCCCCGCCCCCAGGCTCTTCCTCCTCCCTCTAGCCCCGCCTTGTCCCCACCCCTTATCCTTGCCTGGCCCGCGGGCCCTTGCACGCCAGACTCTTGCCCCGCCCCCGGACTCTTGCTCCTCCCTCTGGCCCCGCCTTGTCCCCCCCCTCATTCTTGCCCCGCCCTAGGCTTTGCCCCGCCCTCGGGCCCTTGCCCCGCCCCGGGCCCTTGCACGACTCCAGGCCCTTTGCCCCGCCCTCAGGCCCTTTGCCCCGCCCTCAGCCCCTTTGCCCCGCCCCGGGCCCTTGCACGACTCCAGGCCCTTTGCCCCGCCCTCAGGCCCCTTGCCCCGCCCCCAGGCCCTTTGCCCCGCCCTCAGGCCCTTGCCCCGCCCCTAGACCTTGCCTCTTGCCCAAGCCCTCACTCCGCCCTTAAGCTCTCGTCCCTTCCCCGGGTCCTCGTTCCGCCCCCAGGGGGCGTGGGGCGGGGCGGAGTGAGACCGGCCGGACACTCTAGCGAGCCGGCTGTCGGCTGGATCCCGGCAGCTCGGTCGAGTTACTGTCGCCGCCTCACCTCGGCAGCCAACACAGCCTCGCCGTCGAGGATTCCCCAGAGCAGCGCCCGCCCTCAGCATGATGGACTTGGAGTTGCCGCCGCCAGGACTGCAGTCCCAGCAGGTGCTGCCCCGGCCCTCGGGCCTCTCTGGGCTGTGCCATCCGGAGGGCAGGAGCTCGAGGGGACCCCGGGAGGGAGGGACGGTCGGTCTGGACCCGGACTGCGACGGCCGGGCCGGGCAGCTGCTCCGCCGGGTCGGAAGGGCAACGGGGGGATGGTGGGGCAGCGACGAGAGTAGGAACCGAGCCTGAGGTCCCCCCACGGGGCGCCGTTGGGGTTGGGGTGTGGAGGAAGCCCGTGCTTCGTGGGACCAGGGGGCGACACCAGCACCTCCGCTGGGTCGGATGCTCCGAGGCGGCGGGAGGGCTGGACGCTGGCTGTCTTCGCCGGCGCCGCCCGGCCCTTTCCGGGCCTGCGTGGTTCCCCAGATTCGGTGCCGGTAAAAAAAAAAAAATGTGCCTAGTCACGGGGCCGCGCTCGGGGGAGCTGAGGTCTCCTCGGCGGCCGCTCCGGAGCCCGTCCCCGCCCCTGGCCGCGACCTCCGGCGCGCTGCGCTAGCCCACTTGGCCGTCTGTGGCTTTCTCAGCCCCGGGGCTGGTCGTCTGTGGGCTCACGCCAGTCCGGCTTGATCTAGAAAACAGAAAAGCCCAGCCCTCCGGGGGCGGAAGAGAAAGTCACCGGTGGCCCTCGTGCTCCAGCGCCCCGACGGGCGGCCGGCTGGCCGGCGGGCAGGGCTCCTCCGCGCGCTTCCTCGGCCCGGGAGTCCCGGGTTGGCCTCACGTCAGGCGAGGACGTGAGGACCTGGGCGGGCTCAGAGAGGTCCGAGTCCGGCCGCGCGCGGGGCTGCGTGTTCTGAGCGCCGTGGCTCGCGGGGGCCCCACGCTGCGTGCGTGCGTGCGTGGCGGTGGCCTCCGGGTGGGTGCCATGGGCCGGTTGGCAGTCACAGAGGCCCTCGGTTGGCCCTTTCCTGCTTTATAGCGTGCAAACCTTGCCGCTCTGGGGCCAAGGGACAAGTTGGAGCTGTTGATCTGTTGCGCAATTGTTATTTTCCCCTGGGCGGCTTTGTCTTTGGATTTAGCATTACAGAATTGGAATCCCAAAATGTGTAAAGCAGGATATTCTGTTCCTTGCCGTCAAGGGTAAGAGTTGTAGATTAGAATTTGTTGCTTTTTATACTGTTGGTGAAGTTTTGCTTTTAGCCATTCTCTCTCCCTTGTGTCTTTAGTACATTTTCCTTGGCTGTGTGAGATTTTTGCCTCCTCGATTCCTTACATGTTACGCACTTTTATGAAGACAGAGAGGATGGGACGCTTGCGTTTCATAACCCTTTGTTGATAAGTTTTGAAGATTGTTATGTAAGTGAAAACCAGTTTCTGGTCATACTTCAGGCACTTTTAAAGAATGCTTATGTTGCCAAAAATTGTGTCGTAATTGGATTTTTTAAAAAAAGAAAACATTTAGCTCAAGGGACTACGTAACTTGGTACACAGTAAGTTAATTTAAATGTAAAATCTTAGGCTGACCCCGAAGGTCCTAATGTAAGCTTTTAGTTACTGACAATGCATTAATTCTACTCCCTCTCTTGAACTTTCCCCCAGAAATGATTGGGGTTGTAGCCTGGTTTTCATTAGGATGAATAAGTAAACTGTACTTTCTGATCTTCTGTTCTTCATTAGTAATCAAAAGGAATGCTTGTCTGGCCACAGGATACACGATGCAAACGAACTTTGATTTGAAAGTTTTCTTCTGTTCTGTGCAGCGTGTGGCATAACATTTCATGTACAGAAATGGCAGATATACCGCTTTCTCTTTCATGTGAAAGTTTTCGTTTGCCAACAACAATTCTTGTTATTTTCAGACATTGGTTTAGATACTTGAAGACTGAAAAAAAGAACTAAAAATAATAATTCGTCTTAAAGTCATTGTTTGGTAGTCCAGAATGATTTGAATTGAATTGAACAAATGTTTGGGTAGTTGTAGGAGGATATGGTTTTTTAACATGATCAATGATTCTTCATCTCAGGGGGAAAACCATCCATTACTCTGTCAGTGGTGTCTTGGAAAGATAAAATACTTTTGAAGACAAGAGATAAAGTTGATATTGAACGAGACAGATGAGATTATTTTTAAAAGCCGAACAAAAAAGAGAAAGTGGACAGGCCTTTCCTCCAGAATGAATGTTAAGCAAGAACATCTTGACTTTTTAGATAGTGGAACATCTCTGAGACATTACAGCAGCCTAATGTAGGTTGATAAATGCATGACTACACCAGTCTTTTCTGCCTTAAAAGTAAGAGGGCCATTTTGAAATTCCATTTGCATCAACTTGGGTCCTTAAAAGCAATGCTGGGAACAACCCTCTTTTTTAGGATTACCAGGGAGAGTTGAAGCCAGATACATGGTTTTTCTTAATATTTATTTTTATTTAGGATGAGTTATGCTCAGCAAAGCTGCAGGAGAAAGGAGCACTTGCGCAGTTACACTTATTTCTGGATATTTCCTTCATCGAGATTGAGCGTATTTAAAAGAAGGTATTCATAAATCCATCCTTCTTAGTTTTTCCTTGAATCAGGCTTAGCTTGAGGATGCAGGAAGAATTTGGGACTTAGATACTAGATAGTAGGTAAGCAAATAGACACTCCTTTGCAAGACAAGCAAAATGGTAATTGCCTCGGATGTATAATTTCTCAGTAACTCCATGGGGATAACTTTTTATCTTCAGTTTTCAGGTGAGGAGAGAGGCATGCAGAGAGGCCAAGACTCCTCCAACTGTTTCATGTTAAGATCGAATTCAAGCTTAGCCTGGCTGCTGGGGCTCTGAATCTCCACTTCCAAACTGGACCAAAGGGAACTTGAAGCAGGGCCACAAAGCCTCCTTTTTAAGTGGGTAGATTTAAAAAATAAAACAAACAAACAAACAAACAGGGAGGAGAGGCTGGGAGAATAAAAGCCTGTATCTGCACCTTTCCCTCTTACCTAGGAAGTTAATAACCATGTGAGAGGGAGCAGATCCTTTCAGTGATCCTCACAAAGAGTGAGTAAACCGTAAACCGGCAATGGGATGGTGCCTGTGGTCCTGTCCAGGAAGACACAGAAGCAGGCCTCGGCGGCTTTCATTTGGAGAAGCAGGATGTTTTTTTCCTGTAATTATCATTTTAAAAACAGTGTCTGACAGTCTGCTTCACATTTTCCAATGACCATTTTCCCTTTTTCTTAATTAAATCTTTTAGCTGCCAGGACCTTTGCCTTTGTCTGCCTTGTTTTTGGTACGTTCTCCTGTGTTTGCTTGGGGGTGGTGATCAACATTACATTTAGTAAGGAAGGGTATGTTGTGTAGTGTGACTGACAGGGTTAAACTAGTTTGATGGAAAGTGGATTTGGGATTGGGGGTGGGGTTGAAAACGGCCAACAGAAACCCGTTGGCTCAACCCGAACACGAATCCTGTCTTGGTACCGTTGGTTGAAACCAGCATTAAGAGCTCAAGTCTAGCTGGTGTGCCTGCAGCTTTGAGGCAAGTACATTCGGAGATTAACTACTTGATTTCCTGGTCTTTATTGTTAAATCTTGTTAGGAATTATTTGGTTTATCTGAATTAAATATGCTTCAGGACCTTCGGAAGGGTTTAGTTGGATGATTTACCTGAATTTCGTGTAGGTGAGCCCAGATATTTGAACTTTTGGGGTCACCCACTTCAGAATGTGCTGAACACTGGGGTGGAGGCGACTTGCTAGAGGTAGTTAGTGGTTACCCTGCTTCACTCCATTGTGGCTGAAAAAGGAACTGTTACACTGTGACACGGAAACAGTTTCTGTTTTGACAATGTGATCTCCAGAAATTTCATTACTGTTAGTGCCAATAACATTTTGCAAAAAAAGGGCTTTAAGGTACCACGCCAAGACTTGGACAAGTTAGCAATGGCATGGTTTATAAACAGGAGAGCAAAAATGTGTTGAAGTTTATGGAAAATACAAGTGCATTCTTATGAGAGTTTGTCCCTCAGAAAAACCAAAACAAAATCCTAAACTGGAGTCCACAACCTTAAAAAAATCCTAAATTGGGTTTCTCTGTATATGCCTTGCTATAATAATTTTAAGAATTTTGAGGGGCTGGAAAGATGGCTCAGCAGTTAAGAGCACTGGCTGCTCTTTCAGAGGACCCGGGTTCAATACCCAGCACACACATGGCAACTCAGTTGTCTGTTACTTCAGTTCCAAGAGATCTGATGATATCTTCACACTAATGCACATAAAGTTAAATAAATTATAAAAAAAAAAATTCAATAAATGCATTGGCCGGAAGCAATACAATGCTAATCTGTCATTTTTCTAGCGTGTGAACAGTAACACTGGCGTCACAAAGCCTTGTTCTCTGAGGGTGGATGGTTGGGGTCAGATCCAGGTCCTTGCACGTGCTAGGCACAAACTCCACGATTGAACTTACCTCTCCAGCTGTGAAAGTTTGTGCCAGAATGTAAGCATATTTTGCACAGACTGTTGTAGTGTGAAGACAAATCCAGGGCCGGGCGGTGGTGGCGCACGCCTTTAATCCCAGCACTCGGGAGGCAGAGGCAAGAAGATCTCTGTGAGTTCGACGAGGCCAGCCTGGTCTACAGAGTGAGTTCCAGGACAGACTCTAAAGCTACACAGAGAAACCCTGTCTCGAAAAACCAAAAAAAAAAAAAAAGACAGATCCAGAGCCTAGGAAGGATTCTGAGCACCTAGCCCATCTTATCCAGGCCTCTGATGACCGACTCACTCTCAACATCATTACAGGCCAGCAACAGCTGCCTTCTGAAGGATCTGTTTAAGTGAAATATAATCCACCCACCACACAGTTCGCCCATTTAAAGCCCATTCAGTAGTCCAGGGTATTTATAGTTATGTAATCGTCACTAGGGTTAATTTTATCACTCCTAAAAAACCCCAGGCCCACTAGTAGCCACTTCTTATTTATTTCCTCCAGTTCCCCAAACCCCTGATAACCACTCATTTGTTTTTTTTCATAGAAATGAAACATTGTATGACTGGGTTGGCATGATGCTTTAAAGATTCACCTTGTTCTAACATGTGTCCTGTGTCATTGTTCCTTTTTATTGCTGAATACTATTCCATTGTGTGGACATACCACATTTCACATTGTGGAACATTGGAGTTATTCTATTTCTTATACTTCCAAACTTTGTTGTTTACCAGACTCACCTCCAGTATTTCAAAATTGATGCCCAGGCTGAATCCTCACTGCAGCTGGAATCCAGTGGGATGGATGCCTTTAAACACAGCACTAATGCCTAAACCCATGCCTAGAGATTTTGACTGAATAAAGAATTCAGCCTTGGACCTAACTCAGTGCCTGATGCACATTGGAGTTAGTATCCTGTGTGCAGTGATTTAGAAAGGCTGGTTGGAATGCTTGAGTTGTGAAAAGTTCTTGTGTTTGATCACAGCCTGTGTTTCAAGTCACCTGGAGAATGTTTGAAATGCAGTAAATATGGTCTGAGTTCCTTAATACCCCATGAAGATTTGCATGGTGACTTTGTTACCAACAGGCTTTCCCCAAAAGAACCAGTAGGATTTTTCTGTGAGGTTTTCAGGAGCATAGATAACCTGCAATAAGATCATTGAGGAATGGCATATTAAAAAGCTGGGGGGGGGGGGGCGTAGAAAGATGGCTGAGGAGTTAAGAGTGCTTGCTGCTCTTGAAGAGGATCCGAATTCAGTCCCCAGCACCCTTGACAGATGGCTCACAACTACCTGTAACTCTAGCTCCGGAGGACCTGAGCCTCCCGCCCCCACCCCCGCACCTGCATGAATTAGCATATACCCCTACACAGACGCATTTTATTTGAAAAGGCAGTGAGAGTCTGGAGTGTGGTGGGTCATTCCTGCAATTCCAGCCTCGTAGGGAGGATCGCTGGCCATTGGAGGACAGTCTGGCCTGAAGTGTAGAACCCTGTCTCCAAACAGGAGGAGAATGGAATGCTCATGCTGGCGTGGGTGTCGAGTGTGGATCCCCCACACTTTTCATTCCTGTGCTTTGTTTTCTTTCTCCAAAGAAAACTCAGAATCTCCAAGCCGACTGTTAACACCTCCACTCTTTGATTGTGCCTGACTGTTATAGGCAACTTTATAATCCTGACCACAATGATCAGTACTTACGTGGCCGAGCCATTTCTGATTCACACATCTGGAACTAGAGGCTGACTGTCCTTGTGGGTGCATGAGGTGGGGTGGGACTACGGTTGTGCCCTCTGCAGCTGGCCAGTACACTCCTTGCACACTTCTGCCCGCACAGCTTCTCTCTCTCTCTCTTTTTTTTTTTTTTTAAGATTTATTTATTTATTATGTATACAGTGTTCTGCCTACATGTATGACTGCAGGCCAGGAGGGTATCAGAGCTCATTACGGATGGTTGTGAGCCACCATGTGGTTGCTGGGAATTGAACTCAGGACCTCTGGAAGAGCAGCCAGTGCTCTTAACCATCTCTCCAGCCCCATCTCACAGCTTCTCTTGCTCAGTGCTGCCCGGCAGAGCTGGTTGAGCCCCACCCCAGCCTTCTCATGGCTACTTGTTGGGGTATAGTTAGTCACCTGTTAGGAAGCTGGTAAAAGTTTTTGACTCCTGTTGCTTTAAATTTTTTGAAAAGTGGTATCTTATTTTACTTTTATATTTGTTCTTAAAAGACTTGACATTTGGAGTGGGTTAGTACCTCCCGGATTTGTTGAGAGGAAGGACATGAATGTTGGGACTGTGTTGACTGTGTGTCTTAAGTGACTGACCCACTGAAAAGGGTAGTTGGAATTTTCCTTTGTCAAGTCTGACGGTCTTTCTGCCGTTTTAGGGGGAATGTGTAGTACTGCACATGGAGGCAGAAGCTAACCTCTGCCCAGCCCAAGGCGTTGAACCAGAGGGGAAGTGGTTGTGGTTGGCGCCTGCTGGGAGCAGAGCCTTGCCGAGCTGTGACTGCCCCGTGGAATTACTCTGCTGCTGTGGTTCTTATGGGTGACCAGGAATTTGGACTCGGTTGGTTTGCTGTACTGGAGCCAGGGATTCCTTTGTTTTGTTTTTTCTTGAGACAGGATCTCACACTGTAGCCCACGCTGGCCTTAAATCCACTATGATCCTCCTACTTGAGCTCTCCATGCTGGGTTTACACCACCTTGTGAGCTCACCTTGCCTGGCAAGCCAGGGAATCTTCTTGTTTCTGTGAATAGAGAATGTTGGAGAATCATGAAATTTTGTTGTTAAACCATTAAAGTCTTGGTAATGAAAATCACCCAGAATAAACAGACCGTTTTGTATCTGCAGTAGGAAAAACTGCCGAGTTTTGAAGGTTTTATTTTTGCTGTTGGCAGTTCTCAATGAAACAATGAATATACATTCAAAGACAGCCTTAAAGGTCAGCTTTACTGCCGGGCGGTGGTGGCGCACGCCTTTAATCCCAGCACTCGGGAGGCAGAGGCAGGCGGATCTCTGTGAGTTCGACGAGGCCAGCCTGGTCTACAGAGCGAGTTCCAGGACAGACTCTAAAGCTACACAGAGAAACCCTGTCTCGAAAAACCAAAAAAAAAAAAAAAAAAAAAAGGTCAGCTTTACTTTGTGCTGCTGGCTGGGGGGCCCTGCACCAACTCTTATGTTCCTAGTGGTTCCCAGGCTGATAGCAGGCCTTCTCTAGGGACAGTCTCACATGTCACTAGAAAGTCTCTACCTGGTTTGAAGCAGTTGGTTCTGACTAATTCAGGGGCCACTCCCTGGAATGTGGGGGGAGGCGACTAGGCACCTTAACACTCTTCTCATTGACCTTCACAAGTACAGCCCTCTGTCTCCAGAGATGTGGGTCAAAATGGTTTCCTTCTGTCCCAGCCTGCAGGAAGTCCAGAGCTCAAGGTCTGTGTCTTGTGTGATTCAGTTGTTCCAAGTCCATGTGATAAGGCCGTGGCTGTAAAGTGTCAGTGTGCACCGCAAAAGACAATAATGGAGAGAGGGGACACCTGTATCTCTGTCACTAACTCAGCCTCTCCCTGTGAAGATAGCCAATCTCAGGTGTCCTGAGGTGTCTCCGGGCATGTAGTTCTAGAACCTGGGGGTACTAAATTCCTCAGATGTTCAGGTCCTCCTTGTAAAATATGCACGCTCTATACACATCCTTTCTTATTCTGTAAGTTATCTGTAACTCCCTGACACTGTCTAATGAAATGTAAATGCCCGTAAAGAGTTAAGTTGTTAGGGGACAATAAAGTATGCACAGTACAGACAGGTTAAAGAATTCTCTCAGTTGAGGGTTGCTTGAATCTGCAGTGTGAAAGTCCTGGTTATGGAGGGCCAGCTACCCTGCAGCACTGGCAATTTCCGGGATGGGGGAGATGAAACTCTTGTTTGTTGAAATCCTGCTAGTACCAGGCTCTAGATGAGTTCTGGTACTTGCCCTTAACAAAAATCTACATAGAAGCTGGCAAGATGGCTCAGTGGGAAAGGAAAGCATTTGCAGTGTGAGCCAGACATCATGAGTTCAGTCTCTGGAACCCATGTAAAGGACATGTCAAAGCTGTCCTTGACCTCCACACACGATGATGCACACACACATGTCTACAGACACACGTCATATGACAGTAATGATAAGTCTATGTAGATATCCCGTTACATGTGACAGAAGCTGTTTGGAGTGGTTAAGCTCTTTCCAGGATCACACTGACGCATGTGACAGACAGGGAATTTGCATGACCCCAATCCCTGCTTTCTGGCTCCTGGTTCACTGCCTCACTCCTTTTTCATTTTGTCCTTCCCTAAAGGAGAAAGTATTTTCTTCTGTTAGCGGCCAGAGAATGAAGGACTCTTCACAGAGTACTGGAGAGTTCTGCGGAAGGGGCAGTGTGTGCACCTGTGCCCGGCTTCTCCGTGGAGAGCAGAGCCATGGGACAGCAGCTACAGAAGGCCCCACCCTCTGCCCCCGGTACTTAGAAGACTCCTGGCTGCGGAACACTGATGGGCATTTACTGTCTCGTTTGTAGGGAAGCCCACCATCTCCTCAGAGAGTGAACTGCTTGTGCCTTTTTCTCAAGGAAAGGAGGCAGAGGAAGAGAGACCAGAGGTGGCTCTAGAGAGCAGGCACGTTATCCTGATTCGAGAAGAGTGACTGGCCCGCTTCCTCTCCTACCGAGGACAGTGTCCCCTGGTTGGTTTGGACACTGACACGGGAGTCTACAGCTGCAAGGAGGCGGCCCTGAAAATAGGACTTAACATTATTGTTTAGTGTATAAGGAGAGTTAGGGGCTGGAGAGATGGCTCAGCGGTTAGGAACACTGACTGTTCTTCCAGAGGTCCTGAGTTCAATTCCCAGCAACCACATGGTGGCTCACAACCATCTGTAATGAGATCTGGTGCCTGCACATCTTCTGGCCTGCAGGGATACATGCTGTATACATAGTAAATAAATAAATCTTTTTAAAAAAAAAAAAAAAAGGAGAGAGAGAGTTAGAGACCATGCCATATTTGTTTTTCCTCATGTTCTTTTCACCTGAAGAAGTCTGATACAGAGTGAGGTCAGAGCGAGGAAAGCTGTGAATGGCTGACTAGGTTTCGATAGCAAGTTAATGGCAAGGCCATGGTAATGGCGAGGCCAAGGCAACAGCTCAGTGCTTTAGAAAAAGCTAGTCTGTACCAAGTGAGTTCCAGGAAAGGCGCAAAGCTACACAGAGAAACCCTGTCTCGAAAAACCAAAAAAAAAAAAAGAAAAGAAAAAGCTAGTCTGTGGGTGTAAGCTCCCGTTTCTGAGCACTGTGAGGGAAATAGCTTAAAGAAAATCACCTGATCAGGACTGTAGACTGATGGATTAATTTATTTTCATTGCATCCCCGGATTGCACATGTCTGACGTTTGCTTTTTGAACAGACTCTCCATGGTGGCAAAGTTAGGCTTGAATGCTCTGTGAAATCCAGGATGGTCTTTTTTTTTTTGGTTTTTCGAGACAGGGTTTCTCTGTGTAGCTTTGCGCCTTTCCTGGAGCTCACTTGGTAGCCCAGGCTGGCCTCGAACTCACCGAGATCCGCCTGGCTCTGCCTCCCAAGTGCTGGGATTAAAGGCGTGCGCCACCACCGCCCGGCCCAGGATGGTCTTAAGCTCGCAAAGTCGTCAGGCCTCTACCTCCTGAATGCTGAGATTCCAGGTCTACAGCATGTGCTCAGCATCCAGAATTCTCTTAGTGGACATCCCAAGACTCTTTCACAGTTGTTCTCTTTTAAAAACTAGTGCTAAGGCTGGGAATCTAGTGGGGAACAGTAGAGTACTTGCCTAGCATGCACAAGGCCTGAGTCTGAGTCTCCAGCAGCATACCCTACTCCTCCCAGAAGATAATTGTTTGTAGCTTGAAAGGTGTGTGCTGAAAGGGTTGTAGACTAATATTCTTAAGATACATTAGTTCTTAGACTCAATTATGTTCAAGTATTTCTACAAGAATGGAGTTGAATAATTTTCCTGTGACTGTTATTTGGTCACGAATAATATGAAAAATGTGCTTTGTTACTTTGGTAATTTGAACTGTAACCTCAGACCTCATGGTTTACAATGAAAATACTGGATTCTGAGACTAAATAAGGTATACTTATTGCACAAGTATTCGTGAGATCTACGTCCGGACTGGCACGGCACGAAGGTTTGCTTTAATCTCTCAAGATAGTACAGCAATTGTTCTTCAGGGACGAGAGTTTCTGAAATTGCCCTTTCTAGTTACTCTAACCCTTTGGCTCTTTGTCCTACTGAATTACAGGGTGTGTTTTATGCGGTGATTAGTGTGATTCCATTAATGGTGTCTGTTCTGCTGGGGTATGCATTCTCAGGGTGCTTGGCGTTTGTTTAGTAGTTGCTCAGTAAACACGAGGAGGCAGGCTGAACCACTGTCTTGGAGCTTGGTACTCTATACAAACACTGAGGCCTTGACAACATCACACAAGAAAATGTCACTTCTGCCTTGGTGCTTAGAGTATCTAGGAGGTGGTAGCATTTTGACAGGTTTTGGGATTTTCTAGCCTGTAGATGTCATGTTTTCAGCTTAGAGGCCCCTTAGTAAAGCTGGAGAACAGAGCAAGCATGAGCTGGACTCCAGCGTCTAAGGTGCTGAGAAGGTTAACCTGGTGGGGTGGGGTGTGGGGTGGGATGGCGGGCCTCCAGTTCTCCTGTATGCTACACCACACCTGGATCATAGAGCCCTGGCAGCCTTAGGAGGTTTTAGGAAGGACAGAGGACCTGAGTTGGGTTGGTGAAGGAAGCTCTTGTGGGTCAGAAGGCCGGCGGGCAGGTTGGAGGCTAGGGGATGGTGAGAGAGGCCTGTGCTGTACAGGAGGTGTGGATGATCTTCTAATGGCTTCGTCCATTTGCCAGCCCATGTACTGAGGAGCTGCGGTTGTGGCTAGGTTGCCCTTTTTCAGCTTTAAAACCAGAGATAATGGCACACGCCTGCATTTCCAGTATGTGGGGGTGGAGGCAGGAAGGCCTGGAGTCCAGGGCGAGGCTATGCTACACAGCGTGTTTTGAATCCAGGCTGAACCATGTGAGAGCCTTTCTCAGCTCCTACCCTCGCTCCCAACTCCCCCCAAAATACTCCCCTCCCCCCAAAGACAGGGTTTCTCTGCGTAGCCCTGGCTGTCCGGGATCTCACTCTGTAGACTGGGCTGACCTCAAACTCAGAGATCCACCTGCCTCTGCCTCCTGAGTGCTGGGATTAAAGGTGTGCATCTGGCCAAAAAATACTTTTTAAAGCGAGTAAATTGTCTTCACAGTCACAACATGAAAGCAGCTGTCCCTGGCTGGCCTCACAGGGTTGCATGTTCGAGTAGAAACCCACATTCGTCTCTTCCTGAAGTGTGTTGTGGTCTGCCATAAATGTCCTGTTTTCCGCATCCTTCCCTACGTGCTCTCTGGCCTTATTATAGAGCCTGGTTGGAAACTAAGTCTCCAGAGACTGAATGCCAATCCCTGGACAGGCCTTTTGAACCCAGCAAAGGCCACACACTGGCCAGGCTCCCTTGGGGACCCTCCAACCTGTTGCTGGATTCCTTATCATTAAATGGGTTAATAAGCCATCATATAGGATGCCTTCTGATCTTGTCTATTCACTTGCACAGAATTTCTTACTCGGGATTCTGGCCTAGGAACCCTGGGTCCTGTCCGAACAACTGGGTAGAGAAGTTTGGAGAGCAGCAGTGAGTTTGGAGGGAGGTTAAATCCAAATGCAAAGAGAGCAAACTCATCTCCTTGTCCTCTCCTCACCCCCACCCCTCCTCTACAGGCTTGAAAGTATTGTTTTGTAATGTCTTTTCCAAAATAACTTTGGCCTTTAAAGTCAGCGGAGCCGTGGAGACAAAGAAAACCTCCTGGGATCCCGAAAGAGAGACGGCCCAGCTGAAAGGCATTTGTGTTGCCATAAACAAGTTATGGTCTCACCTTCTATTTTTCATGCAGTAGCTAGACCCAGAAGCCTAAAACGTAGCTGCTTTCAGCCCCTGACATTTGTTACAGGAGATAGACTTATTAATAGTGTTGCTGTCATGCCCTGGCCTTCTCCTTTACAGTTTAAAGACTCATTTACATACTTTTTCATTGAAAAGATGGTTCTGTGAAGACTGGAATCATCTTGGCTTTCTGTTGTGTTAGACCCCACTGTGAGGGTGGGTGGATGGGCACCGCCACCTACGTGGTTACTAGCAAAGCTGCTCAGTTCTTCCAAGCCATGGGGTGCTGTCCACTGTCTGAGCAGCCTCCCCAAGGAAGGGGGCGGGGAGTTCAAGCCTTGTGTTCTAGAGTGGGTGAGAGCTCTGCATGATCACTTGCCTGCTTTGGATCTCACTGTCACTGTATGAGATGTTTGCTGGCAAAGTACTAAAGCTCTTTGTGCTTCCGTTTCCTTACTCCAGAGTGACGATGACGTACTGCCCACTTGGTGGATTGCTGTGCATCCAGACGAGGCGGTACACATTTGGAACACGGTTTTTGAGCACGTAGAAAGTATGTGGTCAGTGGTGGCTGTTATTGTTGCAATGTAATGCCTACTTTATTGGGACTATCCACTACTGTAACCCTCCATTTTCAAAGCTCAGTGCGACCAGTGTCTCACGCAACTATAGAGTGGGTTTCATTAAAAGATGGACATCAAGGAAAGGATGCCTACATTAGTTTTAAGAAAGTGAACCTTACATACTTTAATACTCCTTTTTTAAATTTATTTTTATGTTTATGGGTTGAGTGTTTTGCCTGTATGTGTGTCTGTGCATCATATGTATGCCTGATGCCTGCCGAGGCCAGAAAAGAGCATCAGATTCCCTGGGAATGCCGTTACAGCTGTTGTGAGCCGCTGTGTGGGTTCTGGAAGAGAACCTGGCCTATCTGGAAGTGCTCCTAACAATTGGTTTAACTGACTCTCCATCCCCTAATAATCCTTTTTAAGAGACCCAAATTGCTTCGTAGCAATCAGTAACAATGGTGAGTACCATAATGCATTTTGAAGCGTACACCTCTGAAAGTAGCTGAAATAGAATTTCCAAGCTCAGGGTTAGTTTATGTCTTCCTTGGGGACAGAGTGTAGGATACCAGCCAGTTAGTCATTAAGAGCCCGCTTTGTGATTCAGATTAATACCGGCTCTTTGAGGTAGTTGCTAACAGATACCTGGGGTGTTTGGAGGGCCTGGTGTCCACACTTGTAGCACACAGAAGCATCTGCCCAGATGGAGGACTCCTAAGGAGTGCAAGGGCCCACAGTGGGGGGGGGGGCACCGCAGAGCTGTGCTGCTCAGCGTGGCAGTCACTAGCCACTTGGCAGGCTTGAGATGCGGTGGTGAGGGAGATTGAGAAGCTGGAGTCTTCGTTTTAATGAACTTGGCGTTACAGAGTAGAGACTACTTTTCTGTTACTATGCCTTAGGCAGCGCTCCACAGCTCAGGAGTGGGGCTGGGGTCCTGGAGGCACACACCTTGGTCGTTTGACTAGATTGCATTTCCTGCTGGCTTGTGGGTAAGATTATTGTCTTGTGCTGGAGTGTGTTTGCCACTTCTAATATCACAGTAATTTTTGTTACATGTTAAAATAATATTTGAGCAAATTGGATTAAATACATAGTTCAAATTAAATTTATTGTGTTGTTTTTGTTAGTGTGCCTAAGCTGCAAACAATACCATTACATATTACTCACATTATATTTCTTTTAGAGTTACTTTAGTGCATCCTGTAAGTACTTAAAATTACTGTATTTTTACATTAAAAAATAATTTTCAGTTGTATTTGGACATCATAAAATCAGAAACATTTAGAGGAATGTGTTTTAGAGGTCTTGCAATCCAACCCCACCCTTATAGGCGCAGAAACCAAGGCCGAAAGGTTTCTATAAGTCAGTGGCTCCCAGTCCTAGGTAGGGCTGGAACCTGGTCATCTTTACTGTGACTAGGCAACAGAGCAGACTGGAGCGTCAGTCATTCTCTTCCCGTTACAAACTGAAAACGGGTCCTTAACCCATTCCTTACCACACACAGCATTGCAGGTGATAAGGAATGCTGCCCCCCTGCCGTCCCCCCCCCACCTGCACCCCCCACTACCAGTGAAAGGATGGTTGTGTTCAATAGGTGTTCACCACATGTGTCATTCCTGGGCAGCAAAACACATGAGGGATGGGGGCGACAGTAATGTTCATATTCCCACATTTTGATCATCCACTTTGGAGAACTCCATATTGGTTTTCCTATTCTAACTTCTTAAG